ATGGCGTCGTGGCGATATATTTCCTCTGCTCTGAATGGCGTCGTGGCGATATATTTCCTCTGCTCTGAATGGCGTCGTGACGATATATTTCCTCTGCTCTGAATGGCGTCGTGGCGATATATTTCCTCTGCTCTGAATGGCGTCGTGGCGATATATTTCCTCTGCTCTGAATGGCGTCGTGATTTGATATCTGTGTCTCGTTCTGCAAGCACTTTATATGTTCTTTGCAGGGTTGAGCTCTAGCTCCAGAGACCTATTTGTGAGCCCTTACTTTTCTCAATTGGTTGCTTTTGGTAACGTTGACTTCGATAACGTAATAAACTCGACCTATTCGCTAAGAGAATGTCTTATCAGGGATCTGAAGATCAAGATCTCTTGTTTACCTACGGTTTAGTATATTGCATCGTCGCCTGTCTTATCTAAGCGACTTAGCGGAGCCCCCTTTCCCTTCCCTTCACCTCAAACGTAAACACAAAGTATTTCAACGTTACTTTACGTTGGTCGAACGTATATAGATAGTAAATATAACGTTGTGTGTCTGGCAGACTGGAGCTCTGTGTGTCTTGGGTGGCAGCTAGCGTGCCAAAGGTGCAGATTTGTTGCATCTTAAGAAATATCTTTCGTCTGGACCCTTAGTCATGGTCAGCTGTGGCGTCTACTCCAGCTGTCACCTCTGACTGTTCCTGTGGCACCTGTGTACATATACACCTGACTCCTCCTCCACCTCTGACTGTTCCTGTGGCACCTGTGTACATATACACCTGACTCCTCCTCCACCTCTGACTGTTCCTGTGACACCTGTGTACATATACACCTGACTCCTCCTCCACCTCTGACTGTTCCTGTGGCACCTGTGTACATATACACCTGACTCCTCCTCCACCTCTGACTGTTCCTGTGGCACCTGGGTACATATACACCTGACTCCTCCTCCACCTCTGACTGTTCCTGTGGCACCTGTGTACATATACACCTGACTCCTCCTCCACCTCTGACTGTTCCTGTGGCACCTGTGTACATATACACCTGACTCCTCCTCCACCTCTGACTGTTCCTGTGTCACCTGTGTACATATACATCTGACTCCTCACGTCCTCTGACTGTTCCTGTGGCACCTGTGTACATATACACCTGACTCCTCCTCCACCTCTGACTGTTCTTGAGGCACCTGTGTACATATACACCTGACTCCTCCTCCACCTCTGACTGTTCCTGTGGCACCTGTGTACATATACACCTGACTCCTCCTCCACCTCTGACTGTTCCTGTGGCACCTGTGTACATATACACCTGACTCCTCCTCCACCTCTGACTGTTCTTGTGGCACCTGTGTACATATACACCTGACTCCTCCTCCACCTCTGACTGTTCTTGTGGCACCTGTGTAATTACACATCTGACTCCTCCTCACCCCCTCTGACTGCCATACTTTCCACCTCTTTTGGAGTCAGATCATCAGGCTAAGAGCCAGACTACATTAAACATTTACTTAACCACTAACGAAACCTGTAGATCTTTTCTCCATCATGGCGGATGTGTTAGCATTTATTAAAGACTTTATGGACACCGAACCACTATAAGGCTTATTTATAACAATAATAAAGCTTATAAAGCTTCGAAACTTGAAAACTGTTTATTAAACTGAAACTAAGGAAAAAGATGTACAGGTTTCGTGATTGTGTATGTCGTAATCATGTCCCCCCCCCCTCGTGTTTCTTCTCTCTGCTACCGACTTGACACTGATCTCCAACTTATTAAACTCTCCCTTAAACAGCTCCTTTAAACTTTCGACATAACTCATGCCTTTCAGCTCCGGGACTTTTAAGCTGGCATACTTCAAGACGTTTCCTGCTTCCTCTTGAAGTTTAAGGAGATGGGTTTACCCATTTGGTGCTGCATATCCCAGAACTGGTCTGACTAGTGGGATATACAGAATCCTGAGTCACTCCTAATTACGTTTTCCGAAAGGTATGAAGATGGAAAAAGAAGTGGAAGTGGGGGAAATAAGGATAAAGATGAGGATGGGAATGAGGGAAGTGAAGACAAGATATTGATTAAACAAAGGAAGATAGACAGATTAAAAGGCAGTGAGAGAGAGAGAGAGAGAGAGAGAGAGAGAGAGAGAGAGAGAGAGAGAGAGAGAGAGAGAGAGAGAGAGAGAGAGAGAGAGAGACAGAGACAGACAGACAGACAGACGAAAGGATGAATTGGAGAGGCTGGAGATGAGTCAATAGGACAGATCATAAGAGTCATCCTCCTCTGGGAATTCCTGCCTGTTCATCATTGTAGTGTGTTTACTGCGAGCCCACAGTGGCCCCACTGTGGCCCCACTGTGGCCCACGGTGGCCCACGGTGGTCCACGGTGGTCCACGGTGGCCCAAAGCATTCTTATAAGGTTAAAGCGTTAGAACAAGCTGGTCTTGAAGCCAGTTCCAACCCACTGTCTCTCCCCCATGTACACGCATGGGGGAAGAGCTTTTTCTAGAGCTCCTATGCACAAAGAGCGTTCCTTTGCAAACAGAGAGATCCTGTGTACACAGAAAGCTTCCTTGTACACAGAGAGCTATGTACTCAGCTTCCATGTACACACGGAGCAACCTATGTACACAGAATTCCTAGTATACTTTCCTACTAGCAACAGTGGCAGCAGCAGCTGTAACTATAGTGGTAGCCGCTCTAGCAGCAGTAACAGCAGTAGCAGCAGTAACAGCAGTAGCAGCAGTAGCAGCAGTAACAGCAGTAGTAGCAGTAGCAGCAGTAACAGCAGTAGCAGCAGTAACAGCAGTAGCAGCAGTAACAGCAATAGCAGCGGAAACAATCCCACCGGTAAAAGGGAATATTCGCCAGGATTAGAGAAGGAAAAGTGGCTTTGGTATATGTGTCTTAGTGTATTACAAGGCGGCGCCGCTCTTCCCAGTTTCTCAAGGAATGGCCAAAGTGTTTCAAGGGCAGCGGTTTACCACGGGGAGGCTCTTGGAAGGATAAGCAGGGGGGGGGGGGGTAGAAATAGCCTAAGCTACTCTATCCCTTTGAGATGTATTTTTTTCTTGTCTCAATAAACTTACTTGAACTTGAAGGATAAGCAAAAAAATTATTTATATATATTTTTTTTTTGGGGGGGGGGTGGGGGTGAAGGGTCTAGGATGGGTTTTATATTACATGTCTAGACACTCGCACGCGAATACCACCCACTCACGCACACCCACACGCACGCACGCAAATAGAGTATTTGGAGAAATCGCCTTGACACTACACAAGACCCTGCGTGCCCAGCACCAGAGAACAACAAGCCAAATGAGCACAGAAACCCTCTCTTTATAAACTGAGATTACGTGGAAATCCTCGCACCGTGTACGCCCGGGTTCGAGCCCAGGAGAGGGAGGAACGATTGTGCACAGATTCAGATTCAAATCCTCGCCCCTGGTCACCCAGGAGTAACAGGGCACCTGGATGTAAACCGCTTGGGGGATTGTGTTCTAGGGGGAAACTAGTACAGCTAAGACGAGCTACAGGATACAAGAAAACGCTCGTGAGAGCTAATTGAGGCTAATTGTTTACAGTCTTATGGCAGGGTATGATGAATTATGGCAGGGTATGATGAATTATGGCAGGGTATGATGAATTATGGCAGGGGTATGATGAATTATGGCAGGGTATGATGAATTATGGCAGAGTATAATGAATTATGGCAGAGTATGATGAATTATGGCAGGGAATAATGAATTATGTTAGAGTATGATGAATTATGGCAGGGAATAATGAATTATGGCAGAGTATGATGAATTATGGCAGTGTATGATGAATTATGGCAGGGGTATGATGAATTATGGCAGTGTATGATGAATTATGACAGTGTATGATGAATTATGACAGGGTATGATGAATTATGGCAGTGTATGATGAATTATGGGAGGGTATGATGAATTATGGCAGTGTATGATGAATTATGGCAGGGTATGATGAATTATGGCAGGGTATGATGAATTATGGCAGTGTATGATGAATTATGGCAGGGGTATGATGAATTATGGCAGGGGTATGATGAATTATGGCAGTGTATGATGAATTATGGCAGTGTATGATGAATTATGGCAGTGTATGATGAATTATGGCAGGGTATGATGAATTATGGCAGGGAATGAATTATGGCAGGGGTATGATGAATTATGGCAGTGTATGATGAATTATGGCAGGGTATGATGAATTATGGCAGGGTATGATGAATTATGGCAGGGTATGGTGAATTATGGCAGAGTATGATGAATTATGGCAGGGTATGATGAATTATGGCAGGGTATGATGAATTGTGACAGGGTATGATGAATTGTGACAGGGTATGATGAATTGTGACAGGGTATAATGAATTGTGACAGGGTATGATGAATTATGGCAGGGTATGATGAATTGTGACAGGGTATGATGAATTGTGACAGGGTATGATGAATTATGGCAGGGTATGATGAATTATGACAGGGTATGATGAATTATGACAGGGTATGATGAATTATGGCAGAGTATGATGAATTATGGCAGAGTATGATGAATTATACAACAGCATGATCAGTCTGGCTAAAACGTAAGTAAATTAAGATAATTTATAAGAAATTATACTAACGTATAATTTAAATTAAACGATAAATTATACTAAAATTATACTGAATTATGAAATTTGTAGAAAATTATGCTAACTTGTGTTAAAGTATGATAAATTATGTTAGGTAATGATCAATTATACCAACGCATACTAAATTACGGTTGTGATAAAATATACTAATATACACTAATCGTAAACAAATGGAAAATTAATGTAAAATTTAATTTTTTCTCCTTTAGGGATTTTTGGATGAATCTTCCCTGAACTTAACTCTATGTAGCCACAACTATTATATATTGTTTTAATATTATAAATAACTTTATCATTTATCATTTATCAATAACTTTCTACAGGTTTTAAGTCCAGATGTGCCACTAACGTGTTATTTTTTCTTCCATCTTTGCAGAGGGTGAGTTTGAGACCAACCGTATATATAGGAAGGGTATAGAGACTAAGATTGCAGCTGGCGAGGTGCAGCGAAATAGGATGGCGGATGTGCAGCGACAAGGGGCAGCTGAAGCAGCAGCAGCAGCTGAAGCAGCAGCAGCTGAAGCAGCGGTTGTTGGAACGCGTCGACGGGGAGGTACCAGCATCCGGAACACTACCAATATAGGTGAGAGAACTTGTCAATCTCTCTCACCAGTCGCCCTTCCACTCACACACATGCACTCACTAATCCCCTACACACACACACACTCAACACACACACACTCAACACACACGCACTCATCTATTCCCCCCCCCACACACACACACACTAGAAACATGACTTCTCTGCCAGAAATGTACACAATTTAGCCTGTTGAACCCCTCAAAAGACTTCCATTTCGTATTATTTTATTGAAAGCCCGAGAAAGCAGTCAACAAACTAACCCAACTCTTCTACGTCAAGTATAGTACATATGTACTACACAAGGCCTAAGATTACGTATACTAGGCCTAAATCTTAATTTAGAGTGATACAGTTGTGTGTATGCCTTTTTAGTATATTGTTTAAAACGAATTGATTAGGGTACACCATTCGATATTTTGAATATTTTTATCCATGGTAGCTATAGGCACTCGATCTCAGCTACCATAAGGAACCGAAGACTCTTGGTACCAAGACGAACCGAAGGCTCTTAATGGTACCAATCGAACCGAAGGCTCTTGGCTACCATAACAAAACTGAAAGTTCACAACCATGATATACTAATTCAAATTACCATGCTTTAACAATGTCCTGCTTTACACTACTCATTACTGAAATCTCATTTCCTGAAGATTTCATGTCAATTTGTCTCTATATATTTTTATATATACACACACACAAAATTTTAAAGACTCCAAACTCAAGCAATTGGATACGAAGACAGAATTTTTCATATAAGAAAATAATACAAATAAAGATTATCTCTGCACTTTAGACCAGAGTATTTGATAAAATTTAAAGACGAATATATATTTGTGTAGCCTGCAAATTTGCAAATAATATTTTCTTTTCTATATATATATATATATATATATATATATATATATATATATATATATATATATATATATATATATATATATATATATATATATATATTTCCTATGCTCTACCTGTACCACCTTGGCCTACTACCTGCCACATCCCCACGACCTCTCCCGACCCCCCCCCCCCCAAACACCACCACCCCCCACGACCTCCCCCCCCCCCCCCGCCCCATGGGACCAGCAGCACCGCTATGTCAAAGAGTCATGAAGCAGAGTATTACGTAAATATGATTTAAAACCATCCTCTTAAACCTTAACTAATTTAAAATTGATAATCGAAGCAAAACTAATTTAGATTAATCAACTTATCTTTGATGAGTTGATTAATGCGGGTGCATGTTGACCTTTATGTAAGTGAAAATGTTCGAATTGCATCTTGGATCGGAAAGATTACTTCGGTGTTCTGGCAATTTGGAGCTCTGAAATGAATTCAGAGTCCTTCGTAGGACCACGACTCTTGCACGATGGACTCTCCACCACGAATCCATTAGTCCTTGACGGACTTTTCTCCCTCCTTGACTCCAGCATCAAACTTCGGGTCGATCTAGAAACGTGAAGGGTAGGCGAAGCTGACTGAATCATCGAGCAGCTCACAGAATTCGACTGATCAGTTCGACTGATCTTCGCTTGGGGTCGCGGTGTCACCATCGCCCAACTGGAACGGGTCTCGAACCCACCACCCGTGAGGCTAACGAGGCCAAGCCAGGCAAAAAACTCAACATTAAAATGAGCCTTTTAATTACCATTTTAATGAGATTGAAATTGAAACCAACAACTTCGCAGGGCGTTTGGTCCATTCGAGGCACATCCTATGACCCCAGGAGCCAATAATTTCGCCGTCTCCAGTCCTCACAATGAAGTAGGAGCCACCTATTCTCACAATGTGGAAGAAGTCACCATTTCTTACAATGAAGGCAGAAGTCACCATGCAGCCCTCACAATGAGGGGGAAGTCAAAGCCTCACAACTGAAGTAACATCAGCTCCTAAGTAGTTCATCTAATAAACTCTGTTCCAGTTTAAAAATAACATTCAATCCTTAAAATTATATATATATATATATATATATATATATATATATATATATATATATATATATATATATATATATATATATATATATACTCTAAAAAATCAATAATTATAAAATCCTTAATAAAATTATTGTAACCATAATAATTACAACTTCATTAACAACAGGAATAAGGGATATGTTGTGGTAACAGTAGAGAGGACCTGCACATACTCTCCAAAATTGTCTTCAGGTAAATTGGGAACATAAAAGAAAAGTACAGAAGACCTAATTGGCCCATACGAGGTCGCTCCTATTTATATCCATCCAAATTCAATCATGCGGATGTCTATCCTACGCTTGAAACAACCAGGCGGTCCCAGGTCTGATATACTACACAGTAATACCAGGCGGATTTATCGCTGTGAATTATTATATATATTTTTTCATTTCCCAATGTGACCTTTCAGCAAGATTCATTGTTACTCACCTTTGCCCCAAATGTGTCACATGATCATTAATATCAAGGCATACTGACTACGAGAGAGAGAGAGAGAGAGAGAGAGAGAGAGAGAAAGAGAGAGAGAGAGAGAGAGAGAGAGAGAGAGAGAGAGAGAGAGAGAGAGAGAGAGAGAGAGAGAGAGAGAGAGAGAGAGAGAGAGAGAGAGAGAGAGAGAGAGAGAGAGAGAGAGAGAGAGAGAGAGAGCAGCCCTGGGTTGCAATACTCCCTCTGTCGCCACATTAATTTTTTGTGTGCTCGGAGAAGCAGAGGAGAAGGCTGCGGTGATGTGATATACATCAATGTGGTCGAGCTGTCTCTGATATTGACGGGCAGCGGTAGGAAGCTTTTCACTACACACAGAAATCACAATAGCCTGATGCATCAAATGAATAAATCCACAAGGACCGTGACGAGGGTTCGAACCTAGGTCCGAGAGGATTCCAGACGCTGCCTTAATCGACTGAGCTACGACATGGTAAAAGAATTGCAACCGGGAAATCATCCTGATTTACCAATGGATCCTGCAGCCTCTCCGAGACACAAACCAGGGTTTACACAACTCGCCCCATGCACTCGAGCTATGTCAATGAGCTGTTCTACCTCTTCGCCCTTACTTCATTACACAAATTATTGTTTATTTGATGCACCAGGCTATTGTGATTTCTGTGTGTAATGAAGTAAGGGGGAAGAGGTAGAACGGCCTATTGACATAGCTCGAGTGCAGGGGGGAGTTGTGTAAAACCTTGGTTTGTGTCTCGGGTCTCGGAGAGACTGCAGGAACAGTTGGTAAATCAGGATGATTTCCCGGTTGCAATTATTTTACCATGTCGTAGCTCAGTCGATTAAGGCAGCGTCTGGGAACCTCTCGGACGTAGGTTCGAACCCTCGTCACGGCCCTTGTGGATTCGTTCAAGCTTTTCACTCTATAAGATCAGGCCAATAGAAGCTGCCTCGAATGGACCAATAGGAGCTGCCTCGTATGGGCAAATAGGCCTTTCGTTATTTCCTATATTCTTAAGTTTTTACGTTCCTATATCCCTGAAAATATTCACAGCCGTCTCCCTCTGCTACCAGTATTGGTGATAAGTCACAGAGGAGGTAACGTAATTATCGAGTGAGAGCACTAAACCAGTGAGACTATATAGCACTTGGAAGGTATGCCAGGATCGGGTACAAGTACGGTGCTCAACCCCCTTTAGACCATTGGGGGATCGAACCCCGACCCAGCTACGATACAAAGATTGTATACCAACCAATAGAAGTAGTCTGCGTAAATGGCTAAATTTCGAGGGTATACAGTCGCTATTACAGGAGCGTTAAGTTGGCGCAGATGGGAGCTCCAAGCGACCGGGAAACAAACCATTTAGTGTGTGTGATATGAGTGTATTAAACTCGCAAGCTTAACAAGCTTCACAAGGCAACTAGCAGTAGAAAGCGCCAAGCCATTACGACTATATAGCACTTGAAAGGTCAGGATAAGGATTTGGGATGGGACGGGGGGGGGCGGGGATTTACAAGCATTCGTACATTTTACATGATCTTGTATAGACGAAATATGCAGAGTTTGGATAAGAGACTGTGGCTCCCTTATTATCTTGGATAAGAGACTGTGGCTCCCTTATAATCTTGGATAAGAGACTGTGCATCCCTTATTATTTTGGATAAGAGACTGTGGCTCCCTTATTATCTTGGATAAACAGAGACAGTCTACACGAAAATACAGAAAACGTAAACTTGAAAATACAGGGACAGTCTCCTGTAGAACACTTAAATCATGCTGACCCCCCACCTTCCTTCCCCCCCCCCCCCCCCCCCCCCCCCCCCCCCCCCCCCCCCCTATACACTGATCCCCCACCAACCTATCCCTCAACGACGTTACAGCCCCGCTCCTGTGCCAGGTAAGTCCACTACGGGCTCACCATAGCCCGTGCTACTTGGAACTTTTTGTTCCCAGTAGCTGAATCTTAAACAACTACAACCTTCCCCTACACACCCCTCCTCCCTCCTCACTAAGCAGCTTCCACCCCCACCTTGTTTTAGCGCCTTCGTCAGGATGTATGGCTGAAGGCGCCGTGTTCGCCGAGGGGTCAGCCATGGTGTCTCCTGACGTGTGCTCCTACTGCTTCTGTATACACGGCAAGAGGCGCTGCGTCGCCCCGAAATGCCTCCTGCCGGTGGAAGGCTGCCGGCCTCGCTACCGCTCCTTCTCCTGCTGTCCAAACTACTACGATTGTCGTGAGTATTGTCTCCTGCAGCTGCTGAGTGTGGCTGGCTACGACTCCCTCTTCTGCTGCTACTGCTGTAACGTAGACAGATGTTTGCAGGTGTTCCGTAAGTGTTGCTACTTCCTATCCTATCCCATCTCGCACTACACTTTCTACGACTGCCATATATTAGGGTGTATTTGGTGCTAAACAGTCAACCCCCAACACCCTCGGCCCTGACGGCCCAAACCCTCGGGTCCCGACGGCCCAAACCCTCGGCCCCGACGCCCAAAACCCTCGGGTCCCGACGGCCCAAACCCTCGGCCCCGATGGCCCAAACCCTCGGGTCCTGACCCCCCAAACCCTCGGCCCCGACGCCCTCAAACCCTCGGCCTCGACGCCCCAAACCCTCTGGTCCCGACGCCCTCAAACCCTCGGCCCCGACGCCCTCAAACCCTCGGGTCCCGACGCCCCAAACCCTCGGCCCCGACGCCCTCAAACCCTCGGCCCCGACGCCCTCAAACCCTCGGCCCCGACGCCCTCAAACCCTCGGCCCCGACGCCCGAAACCCTCGGCCCCGACGCCCGAAACCCTCGGCCCCGACGCCCGAAACCCTCGGCCCCGACGCCCGAAACCCTCGGCCCCGACGGCCCAAACCGTGGGCCACAACGGGCCAGGCCTGACGCATACCGGAGCATAAATAGGAAGCTGCCTCCCGCATACCAACCCGCCCGAGCACACTTGGTCTGGTCCCAGACGGCGCCCTCACCCAGGGGTGCAACACGGCTCAGTTGGCTATTGCCAGCCTCGCAGGATAAACATCCACCATTGTTCGTGGATTATTACAGCTATCCACCTGAGTGATAGGATATAAGGATGGATTCAGCTGTCTAAGTGCAGAAGATGAGCTATAATAACGGGGCGTGAAGATATGTTGACCAGACCACATTCCAGCAGATGAGGAGACGACGACGTTTCGGTCCGTCCTGGACCAAGTGGTCCTCCCACACGTCTGGTCCACGACGGACCGAAATGGCGTCGTTTTCTCCATCTTCTGGTGTGTGGTCTGGTCATCAGCACAGCCGTCCATCCCCCCTTATAGGGATTCCCGTTATCCGCCCCCGTACATGTAGGTCACTCATCCTATATAGATGATTCAGTCATTCATCTCACACTCATCTATGCTCTATTGTGTCACTTCTCACTGCTCCTGTTGGCACTGAGCATAGGAGCTCCTCGCACACAGGTGAGACACATCGCTCTTGTTGTTGGTATAGATTCACCTACTGGGAACAAAAAGTTCCAAGTAGCACAGGCTATGGCGAGCCCGTAGTGCCAGGAGCGGGGCTGTGGGGACACATCGCACACTCTGCTGTGTATATAGAGGCTACTCAGCGCCTATACATGGTGTGTAGTGAGGGGGGAGAGATGGTTAAGCCCACTTACACAGGCGTCCGTTAGGTTACACTTGGGTTCCTGTTTACTGCCAGAGCGTGTGGGTGTAGCGGTCTCTGCCCACACTGAACACTGGGGGTTCTTGACACTCTCTCAGCAGGAAGTAGTGGTGGTATAGATGAAGGTAAATAACAAACAGTTCCATGTGGATCAATGTGGCTGTTTGGTGTGTTGTTTGTGCATCAAGCGAGTACCCTTCTCCCCCTCTTCCCCCCCTCCTCTCCCCCTCTTTCACTCCCCTCTCCCCTTTCTCCATTCATGAACAGGGGTTTGGCCGGTGCATGGAATGGACTTTGGCTTCTATTTATGACGAAAATCTACATGTGTAAAGCTTTTTCATTCATAAACACGGGGTTTGTCAGCTGGGTTAACGAGCATTTGGCCGCTGTTTATGAGGACGGGCCGAAGCAATTACGGCAGAATTACAAGCACACGTCTTCCAAAATCGTCATATTGAGTCATACTGAATTAGCGTAAAGAACTTGGCTGTTTGCATAACTCTCTCATTAGATATATAAAAAGCCAAGTTTAATGTAAGTGCAATGACTGTTCTAGTGTGTTGAACAAACAATAGCTTCAAGACGAACCACCAAGTTCGAACCACCAAGTTCGAACCACCAAGTTCGAACCACCAAGTTCGAACCACCAAGTTCGAACCACCAAGTTCGAACCACCAAGTTCGAACCACCAAGTTCGAACCACCAAGTTCGAACCACCAAGTGATGATCATCTGACTCATGTCAGATGATCATCAATAATCTTTCTTCATTCTAAAATAATGATAATAATAATAATAATAGTAAAGAGTTATGTTACATTTTCTATTCAGAGATTACCCAGTAGCTGGGTGTGGGATAATTTAATAATTACTAACGGAAAGCAGGTTAATACTGTTTATGAACAAAGCAATAGGTGACGGACTCACTTCTGTTGGGGTTCGATCCCCGATTATCCAAATTGTTTGGGACCGTTTAGTTTATTCTCATATCCCAGCTCCTTGTACTCATATCTCAGCTCCTTGTCCTCATATTCCAACTCCTTGTCCTCATATTCCAGCTCCTTGTCCTCATATCCCAGCTCCTTGTCCTCATAGCCCAGCTCCGTGTCCTCATATCCCAGCTCCTTGTCTTCATAGCCCAGCTCCTTGTCTTCACATCCCAGCTCCGTGTCCTCATATCCCAGCTCCTTGTCCTCATATCCCAGCTCCTTGTCCTCATATCCCAGCTCCTTGTCCTCATGTCCCAGCTCCTTGTCCTCATATCCCAGCTCCTTGTCCTCATTGCCCAGCTCCTTGTCCTCATATCCCAGCTCCATGTCCTCATATCCCAGCTCCATGTCCTCATATCCCAGCTCCTTGTCCTCATATCCCAGCTCCTTGTCCTCATATCCCAGCTCCTTGTCCTCATATCCCAGCTCCTTATCCTCATAGCCCAGCTCCTTGTCCTCATAGCCCAGCTCCTTGTCCTTATATCTCAGTTCCTTGTCCTCATACTGGGTACCTGGAGGGCCAAGTACCCAGTGGACTATTATTCACAACACCCACACACCATCCAAGGGGACAAGATCTTCCCTCGCTCACACCCACAGTTGCAGGTGTGTGTGGGTGTTCAGCAGTTGAAAGACGGAACCAAACACTCTCAGCTCAACCCACGTACGTGCAACCAGATATAACACCAACACACACACACACACACACCACACACACACACACACACACACCAGCTTCCCCTCCCTCACAATAGAGTACCACCAACCACAACAATACACACGATCAGCTGTGGTCTGCGATACTCCCGTTGCTTCACCTCCACACGCGTGTTAAATATAAGGGAGCGTAATACTGGCTTCATAACACTAACATTAACGCTACGCATTACACCTTGCACGTTACGCCCCCCAAGTGGTCATAACGCCACCCCCCCCCCCGCCCCGCCCCTCTCTCTCTCCCTGGTGGTGTAGTAACGGTACACCAGTGAACATGTATATAACAGGGATGGGGTTCGGGGCTGCCACACCTGGCAGTCGAACGATGAATATAACACCCTGTACTCCACACCCGGTAGCACACCTGGGTGGACTGACCCACCCAGTAATCCACACCCGGTAGCACACCTGGGTGGACTGACCCACCCTGTACTCCACACCCGGTAGCACACCTGGGTGGACTGACCCACCCTGTACTCCACACCCGGTAGCACACCTGGGTGGACTGACCCACCCAGTAATCCACACCCGGTAACAGGTTATACAGGACCTTGGCTGCTCAGTACCCAGCACAACGAGAAAGAACGCCTCTCCCCCTGCCGGTCACTCGAGATACATAGAGGCCGCCGGTCTTTCTAAGGGATATACATACACAGGAATGTGTATACCCCGGTGTATATATATACACAGAATTTACTTTAGCCCAGATCTATACTTAAGGCTAATGTATATACTTACTGGTTGATCAGTTAGTGTTACGACGCTAAGAACTCTTGCGCAGTTGACTGTCCTCAACCCCTAAACTGCGCAGCTTTCGCAAAGTACTTCATTGAGGTATAACTGATTTAAATTATTGAACAAATCAAATGGGGAGGAAAAATAGTCTCATATGACGGTTGGCGCACTGTAAGGGGTTATTAAGCCCAACAACCAACGGGTTATCGTTGGTCAATACATGTTGCTATATTAATTGATGCCCTACATCCCCCTCCTACCGTGAAGGTCGAACTGGGGCAACGTTCAGGACGCTCACGTTCTGGCAGAAGGTCGAACTGGGGCGACGTTCAGTACGCTCACGTTCTGGCAGAAGGTCGAACTGGGGCGACGTTCAGTACGCTCACGTTCTGGCAGAAGGTCGAACTGTGGCGACGTTCAGTACGCTCACGTTCTGGTAGAATGTCACCCACGTTTACATTTCTTTTTGTCTCAATAACCTTAATCAAGACACGTAGCGCGCCGCACTCTGATACTCCTACTGGACCAGAGGGGCGTTTCACAAATAGAGGAGTATGCCCTTCGTCCTCTGACTCCTTGTGTGTGGGGGAGAAAACGGATGTATGTCGTAAATTTTTTTTAACTTGCGTTGATAACATGTTGAAGATCTAATTTGTTTCTAATTTTGCCCCGAGGGGCGAGTTTATTGGGTAGCGTCACTCATCCTGTGAGTGGACACACCGCCATAGTGACAGTATTGGGCAGCGTCACTGATCCTGTGAGTGGACACACCGCCATAGTGACAGTATTGGGCAGCGCCACTGATCCTGTGAGTGGACACACCGCCATAGTGACAGTATTGGGCAGCGCCACTGATCCTGTGAGTGGACACACCGCCATAGTGACAGTATTGGGCAGCGCCACTGATCCTGTGAGTGGACACACCGCCATAGTGACAGTATTGGGCAGCGTCACTGATCCTGTGAGTGGACACACCGCCATAGTGACAGTATTGGGCAGCGTCACTCATCCTGTGAGTGGACACACCGCCATAGTGACAGTATTGGGCAGCGCCACTCATCCTGTGAGTGGACACACCACCATAGTGACAGTATTGGGCAGCGCCACTCATCCTGTGAGTGGACACACCACCATAGT